ATGCATACAAAGTTCACTTGCCGGCAGGCTTCAGTTTTCAGTCACATTCATATCATATCAATGCTCCTACTTTCGATACCCTTTAAAAAAAAGTCACTTAGGGTTTAATGGTTTTATGCAAACAGCCAAACACCTAAAGTACATATTTTCGAATCGTTCTAGCCATGTATTACTGTCTGTTTGCCATTTTCTATGAAATCTAGCCTATCTATTCTTCTGTCGGGCACAAATTTCAATGCGAAGAGGGTATAAATGAGCCACTTAAACTGCGACAGATAACAAGTGGCTTTCGAACTGTGATTTTATAAATCAAAATAAGATTGAAATATGTGGGGTTTGCTCGCCTTGCGCCAGTCTCAGGCGTAACATCTATATACATACATGAATTTATATCCGAAGTTTGGGATCTTTGTCTTTGATTATGACAGCAACAAAAAACAGAAACTAATATACTTCTTTGTGCATTTCGCACTGGGTATAACGAGTCGCAGTTGCAGCACTCAACTGGCAGCTCGGACTTGTGCGACAAGGGCGCCCCACACACACACACACACACACACACACACACACACACACACACACACACTCCTCTATGGCTCGCACTTTTCACGTGAGACAACTCCTTCATGTCGCACACATGTTGCCCAACTGAACGAAAAAATCAAGAGGGTTTGCCTGTGGCAGCGGTTGCGGGGGCAACGGCAACAAAAACTTAAAATCGCATCGAAAGAGTTGGCGACAGCTGCGACGAAAAGTTTGCAACATTTGCCGGGAGGCAGCATTTGCAAAGGGCGCACTCGCAACTTGATTGCACATCCGCATAATCGGTAATTTATCGATAGGCACATGCGCATACTCGATAAAGACAGCATTGTTTGTCGAACGTTTTCTACCAAAGGTTTTATATAAGTAAATCTTATAGATTTTTATGGATTAGTTTGTTTTTAATAGCTGCAATAATTCCGCCTAAGAGCAATCGATAACACTTTTCTGGTATCGATAGACAAATTTTATGAGTTGATGCTTGCTGCACCCAAACATAAATAAATTATTTTTAAATAATCGCATGGCAAAAGAAAACAAAACATGGTTAAGATTATTATAAAATACGTAAACGATAATATATGTGACGTTATCGATATGTAATCGAAGATTTAAGGAGAGATTTTCGACATTTTTTGCATATATCTGATTGATCAGCGATCAATTGTAATCATTTATCGTGGCATAACTTATCGATTAGTGTAAATATTTTCAAAACTATCGAATAGAAACCCATTTGCATACATATCGAAATCATCTCGATATTTGGCTCTGCTCGTGCAACAATCGCCCGCCATGCAGCCAACAGACACGGAGTTGCAATTCTATATATAAAACGCGCCTCGCAGCTTCGCATTCCACTTCCACATCTCAGATCGTGCCACACGAAACGGCATGCATTCATTTTAACTTTGTTTCCCCCCCCCCCCCCCTTTTTTTCTTGTTTTGTGATTTTTTTTGCGGCAAATGCGTTTCGTGAGCTTCTCGAGAGCAGTGCACAAAAACCCAGACCCCAAAGAAGCCACCAGCTAAATATAAAATAATTCCGAGCCAAACCGAACCGAAGCAAAGAGAAAAAAAAAATAAAATAAAAGCCATGCAATGCCAGACAATTGAAAAAGCGCTAAGAAACTGAAACAGCCAAAATGATAATAGGCACATTTTACAATAAATCAGCTAAAGAAAATGTTTTATTGTTTTTTTTTCTTATTTTTACGCTCGTAATTTGGGTTTTGCGGTTGCCAAGTTTTTTTTGTAGTTTTTTTTTTGTTTCTTTTATGCTGCATTGGGTCTGGGAATTAGAACTGCGCGCGTTAAGCTCACACGATTAAGCACGAAGCGTTGTGCACAGCTGATCTTCAAGAGATCTAAAGGTATTTTGGGGAGGATATCTTATTTGAGAGAGTGGCTTGATGCCAGCTTGAATGATTGAAGTACACACATCCTACTCCAAAATTGAAAACATTTCCATTAATGAGCTTATTACTTTATACGAATAAGAAGAAAAATCACTATAAATAAAGGAGTTCGTCCTGACGAAATGATTAGCTATCGACGTATAGCCCAAACAGTATGAGCAAGCGGAAGGTCGCCGGTTCAAACCTTTTGAAAAATATAAATTTAGAGAAAACAATCCAATGAAGTCGAAAATGGAGGGGAATTTAACAGTAATAATGAAAATTCTTTTGTTCTGTGTATTTCGTCAACAAAAAAGCTGTGGAATATTTAGCGCATACTAAGCACGATGTTTTAGGTTCGAACCTATAAAAAGAAGTTAGAAAACAGAGCACTTTTATTTTTAAATTTTTTTCTTTGAGCCCATAAAGTATATATTTCCCTGATCAGCATGAACAGTCGAGCTTATATAGGAATGCCCGTCTGTCCGTTCTGTCTGTCTGTCTGCCCATCTGTCTGTCGGAGTATTCTATCGCGTAGTATCGATACTTTCTTTACAATTGCAATATCGATACAACCCACTTATTCATATTTCGATACATATGTCGCCATTCGCCTCCTCTCTCCTCAAGCGCCGGGTGCTAATTTAATTAGCGGCTCTTTGGGATTGCGACGGTGGCAAAAATGTCTTGTACTTACTTATATATATTATACACTCTATATTGACCAGCTGATTGATTGATTGACTGATTGATTGGCGATCATATTGACAGTAATTACCTTTGTTACAATGTTATTTGACTTGAAATGACTGAGAAACTGGGCATAGACCAAAGTCGGATAACACCAGCTGATATATGTAAATGCATATACACCGGCAAGCAGTGCCCGGCATTGCACGGGTTTTCATTCATTCGGAAAGGTTATTCGAAAAATTTGAAGCTAATCGAATGAAAGCCAAAATAGTTTCGTACAGCTTTTCACTCTGTTTTTAAACATTACAAAAATATCTTTCAAAATCTCACCAATGCAACTACCTTGCCCTAATACCCATTCAATCAATCAATCAGTTCAATCAATCAGAAACAGTTTAATACACATAGATGAGTATATGCAAGGAGTGGATTTTTATGCAAATGATGAGCTTTTCGACTACCCAAAATTTGTTTCTACCAATTTAGCGCAAAGCAAGCGCGCAACACTCCCAACTTAAGCGAAGAGGGGGAAAAAAAACTAAATACGTATATATATATGTATATATGTATATGAATTGAAAGCAAAGCAAAAAGCACATAGACCCAAAGGCAGAAGTGTGTAAAGAGTGCAATGCCAACAGATTTATATATATAAATATACATATATATGTATATATGCCCAGCACACATACATACATATGTGAAAACACACACAGGGCACACATACATACACACATAGATGGGTTGGTTTTTAGCTCATTATGCCAGCGGTTTTTATGGCGCCATCGCGCATCAGACACCTGACAATATGGCAATATGTCAATATGTCAATATGGCAATATGTCAATATGCCCATAAACATGCTGACCGATATTCGCATTGATTTACAATTATGAATGAATATGCGAAAATGTATGAATTAAAGGCGAGCACCTTTTGTCTGTCTGTTCCTATGCATTATGAAAAGGTATGGTCTGCAAGGGTATTAAATCTTCGGCGTGCCGAAAACTGCCCTTCTTTCTTGTATTAAATTGTATTTAAGCCAAAACTTACAGAAGAAGTGCTGTTAAAAGTTTTGGATGCGGAAAGCAAGGGATGAGGTTTCCTTTTATTATGGGGAAATGTCTGGTAAGAAATGTGAATGGTTTTTCTTACAGGGAAATTTCTATTAGCAACAAGTTAAACTATTTCACATTTAAATAAAGAGTAAAATTGTAGTTCTATAAAAGATCCGATTGTTTCCGATTGCCGATTGTTTCAAGTTTTTATTTTTAGGTTCAAATTTCTTATATTTTTGTCCCTTAAAAAAGATCGCGCCTGATCTGGAACAGTTTTCCAGCATTCGCTGAGGGGCGCCTTATTCGAAAGAGAATACAGGATGCGTACTGACAGAGAGTGAGAAAGAGTGGGAAGAGCGAAGGGAAAAGAGAGAGAGTTTTAACTGTTTTTATTTATAAAATATGTCTATCAAGACCAAAATCTAAAGAAAAACTTGTTCTATACTTTTCATTAAAGTAATTACAAAATAATTGCATTAAAAATATGGAATTCCTGTTCTTATTTTGATTACACTTTTCCCGACGGCGTCTTTTATAATGTACAAATTAATCCCAAAATATTATAATCAAACATACAATAAAATACAACAAAATGAAAATAGAGCAAATCAAAAGATCGATGACATAAAAAATTATGTTTAAAAAATGAATTTCGAGTAAATTCTTAAGGAATAATACCCTACGGACAGAAATGTTGAGCACATTTTTAAGGATTAACACGCTATGGAAAGGCATGTTAGGTACATTTGCTAAAGAATAATACCCTACACAGCCTCGCGCAACATTAAATATTGTTGTTTGAAAAAAAGACAACGAATAGATTTTTTGTCCCACATAAACAATAAGTTGCCCTAAGAAAATCGGACCTTTACATTTGGCATTTTTCAACTTTTCCGATTTCAAATTTAAGTAATTCGCGTGTTTTAACTATACCAATACCTATATATACATATGTACATATAATATTGGTCCGATCACTGATCACGATAGGTATTTCACTCTTCTATATACGCCAGGAATCGGGCAATTTAATTGCAAGAAAACTTTCTTAGATTGAGATTATTTGCTGCTCAATTTTCATTCAAGAGAATTAACATTATTTGCACGCTCTTTCATCGGCGTCTCCTTTGTTTGATTCTGTTCTCTACATTCTCTCTCTCTCTATCTCTCGTTTACACACACTGTACACTATTCACTTTTGGGCCTGCGACCGTTTTCCTGCTGCCCACACAAACAAAACAGCACAACAACAGCAAACATTTGCGCATGCTTTGGTATGTGTGTGTGTGTGTGTGTAGTCTGCACTCACCTCTTGCTTGGACCGCGGCCGCCTCTGCCTGTGTCGCTGCTTGTGCCTGTGCTGTTTCTAATTCTTGCACAGTGATCAGCGCGGCTGCTCCTGTTGCGCTTGCTCTGCCGCTTTTAACAGCAGCAGCAGCAACAACAACAAAACCACACAGCCAGCAGAGCAGCTGCTGCTGATGTTGAGAGGATAGGCGTCAGCGCTGGCGTCGCTGCTGTGCGTAGCAGCAGCAGCAAAAAAAAACTAAATTTGTTTTTGTTGTATCGGCTGCTGCGGCTGTAGCGGCTGCTGTTATTATTATTGTTGTTGTTGTATTGAATCCGGTTTTAAATTTCTTTCGACTTGGTATTTCTTCTTATTTGCTTGTACATCAAAAATTTGTTTTTGCTGCTTCTTTGGGTTTTCCTTTTACACGCTACGTGCATACATACATGTGTGCGTATGTTCGTGTGTATGTGTGTGTAGCACTTCACGTGTAGCAAAAATAGCAACAAATGCACTTGAAATTATTTTTCTCTTTTATTTGCACTGCGCTTCTAGCGCCAAAAAAAACGTGCTAAGAACCAAAAAAAAAAAACAAAAAATTCTGTTGTTGGTATTTGTCCTGCTGGCCACGCGGACCGCAACTTATGCTAAGAAAATTTTATTATAATGCTATTTTAATTGAGTAAAGGTCACAGGCAGCAATAAATAACAACAATGTTAACCGTTAGCGCCTAGAACCAAATCACGCGCGCAAAACGAAGAACGAAATTTTTACGCAAACTGCGAACCGTTTACAAAACTGTTAAATGCGACGGCGACGGACGTGAAACACACGCGTTCGATTTGAATGCCGGCAAAAGACTAACATCATTGGCTAACAGACAGCCGTAAGGTTGACGACGCTCTGTTAAGCGAACAGGCTTGCTTAACAGCGCTGTTGTCGCAACATGTTGCTGGCGCTGTCTGCACAGTGGCGTGAACGATAAAGCAACTGAAACAAAACGTATTTTTATGCGAATTTATGCAGGGCACAACGCAATTAGAAGCAGTTTTTTTATGTGGGCGTCAAATCAATTAATTATTTCATTAATTGCATGCAATATGTTAAGATGTTGTGACTTCATTGCTTACATCGTGTATATTAAACACGTTGTTGTATAAAACAATTTCCTGCACTTTATTGAAAGATGAGATGCAGTAGTCAGATAAATAGACAATACCTCAGAATAATCAAATGAATATATATTCACATTGTTCCCTGCGGTACTTATTTCTCACAATTAATTGCCTAAGCTATAAGTGCACACATATCAGCAATAAACCAGCGTCATATTCCACGGTGCGGCGCACAAATTATTGAAACACGCATGCGCGCATGTCAATGGCTGTTGTCGAGCATGGAACATGTTTGACCTGTAAAGTAACAGGTGTTTACAGCATTGCGACTGAACATACATGTCCGCAAGCATGTTTTCTACATACTTGTATGGTAAATATTACAGCCTCAACAATTTATGCAAAATTAAATACATTTCAATATAGTGCGTAGATATAGCTATTAATTAATTATGGTAAACTGAAATCTTAACTAAGTCCGTTATTAAACATTGCAATGTGCCGCAGGTGCGCCGGCGCAAGCGAGATGCCAGCACTAGAGGGTATTTAAGTACGTATGTATGTGTGTGTGTATATGTATGTATTAATGATCGGCTCGGGGCGCGTTGCTCGGTGCGAGTCGCGTTTACTCAGCATTTTAATGAGTCGATGTCGCATAAGTTTGTTTTTTTTTTTTGCTCTTGACTTTGAGCATTTGAATAGACATAGGCAATGGGAAGAGGAGGGGGACGGCGAGGGTTAACTTTATATTGTGTAATTAATAGTTGTTGTTGCTGCTGCTGCTAGTGCTGGGTAATGCATTTAAATGCGATGGGCAACGCACCTGCCACTGCCGCTATTAAAATAGCTGTTGTTGTTGAGTCTATTTGTTGACCTTGAGCACGGCCCAAGCACCAATGTCAAGCATAAGCCGGCGAATTTTCGTCTAGATTTTTGTTGTTGATTATTTCAGTTGTTTGACTTGCGCTTCTATTGGCTATTTACAGTTCACTTTAAGCGTTTAAATTATGTGTTTACCCTGTATACATATAGGGTATACTCAGGTTGTGCAATTGTCGCACGGCGCCACTATTGGGCTTGGAGCCGGCTACAGGGTATTTCTTGGTCGATTACTTCCTTATTGAGCACTCTTCACTTTGTTCTGCATTTGAGAAACGCAAATTAAACCTGAGTCTCAGTTTCCGTTTCAACTTTGGCCATTTGACGGCTGGACACGTATTTGACATGCCACTGCTGCAGAGGCGGCTCCCGTGGAGGCGTGGCACTTGCCAAATTGAGTGCAAACTCTTGTCCACTGACAAGCAATCAATCAAAACTCATCACAAACAGTTTTTTTTTTTGTTTTTGGGGCAACTGCAGCAAGGACCGTTACGAAGAGAACGCTGCTCGCAAATTTCGGCATTGGTCCGTTATTCTATTATCCAGCTCTCAACTCTTCCCCTCACCCGTTGGCCAACATCTGCATGCTAAGTATGTCGTCTCATTAACATCAAAAGCATTAACATTTGGATGCAGCCTAGAAAGTCAACCCTCTCTGCACACACACACACATACACACACACTTACACACACACAGTTAGATACGTTACGTTTATGTATGTCTCTTTCCTTCTCTCTCTTTCTTTCTGTCTGCCTCTCTATTTTATCTGCTGGCAGCGCCGCCGCTTCGGCTGAACGCGTGAGGAACGGCAAAGTTTCAATTAAAACTCAAGAACAACCGAAGCTGGGACGCAGTGCGTCATGCTACGCTTGCCAGAGTTATTAAAAGCAGCAGCAGCAGCAGCAACAACAACAAGCAACAAAACCAACAGCAAACAACAAGTCAACAAGCCAAAGAAGCGTTGAAGAGTAAACACAACAACAACAACAACAACAACAACAAATGCTACAGAAGCAACGAAGAGGGGGCGGCAGAGAAAGAGAGCGGGCAAAGTTTGAACCAGCACCAAAACTCATCAACAAATCACGTTAATCAGTCAGAGCGCCAAGTTCTTATACCAGACGGCTGGTTGAATAGCGCGAGAAGCGAAGAGAGCGAGGTAAGTTAGAGTTTAGTAAAAGCATTTGGGGCCAAAGTCTCTGTTCGTTGCAGCGGTAATGAAGTGCAGCCAGGCGAGGCAGCGCCAACGAGCAAAGCGTTGAATTTGGTCTGCCAGAGAAACCAGAAGAGAGTGAAACGATCTGCATAGCATAAGCTAGGCTTGGCAGAGAGACAGAAAGAGACAGCGCATGTGGCAGAGAGGGGGAGGGGTAGGCAGCGTACATCAAAGCAGTGCCAAAAGTGATTTGACTTTGACTTTGGACTTGGACTTTGATTTGAGGCTTTTGCTTTCGTTTCCATCCGCCTATGCAAATGAAAGAGAGCAGCAAGAGCGAAGAAAGAGCAAATAGCCAAAGACGAACATAATACGAAGCATGTAGTTAGCTATGTTGTTTTGTTGCTTTGTCTTGTACAGAATGTTTAATTGCTGGGGAAAAAATTTAGATATTATCTTTAAAGTGGAAACTCAGCAAATTTGCAGTAAGACAAAAAAGCTTTTAGCTCATTAGAGAAAAACACACACTTATAATTGAAATGAGGTAAAAAGTGCATTGAAAGCTCTTAAAAGCTTGGCGTAAAGGTTAAAAGTTCCTCTAATAGTTTTTCATTGGTCAAGAAATTTGTTCTCTTAACTACGAGAAATTCAATGTAGTCTAATGATAGAAAAGCTTTGAAAGCTATTGATGATTTGCATAACAATGCTTTGCAGGTTTCTTAAAGCTTTAAACTAGTTAGATTAGTGTGTTAATCTAAGGCTAAAAGCTCCATAAAGTGCCACAACTATGGCTTAGGAATTTAAATGCAAAGTCTTACGAAAGAGGAGCTTTGAAAGCTCATTAAAGCTTGGTTAATTTATGCATTTAATCTAATTAAAATCTAAAGCTGTAAGCTCGATAAAACGCCTGAACTAGGACTTAGGAATTTTAATGCAAAGTCTTATAAAAAAATGCTTTTAAGGCTCGTGAAAGCTTAGTTTATTTATGTACTTGATCAAATTAACAGCTTTGATTAATGTGTTAATCTAAGGCTAAAAGCTCGATGAAGTGCATCAACTATGACTAATTGAAAAGTTTATGAAAAATAAGCTTTGCTAGCTCGTAAAAGGTTCGTTTTTTAATGTACTTGATCCAATTAACAGCTAAACAATGCGTTGATGGTTTCGTAATGCTTTAAGTTAGTTTGATTAATGTGTTAATCTAAAGCTTAAAGCTCGACAAAGTGTCCAGAGTTCTGCTTAAGCAGAAAACCTAAGTAAAGTGCGATTCAATATGAAAATGAAATTTTGCTAGTAAATTGCGAAAGGACTTTGAAGCAAAGTACATTAAAAAAAACCCCTTGGCTTTCGGCGGGGGCGGCTGGAGCTTAAGCTTAAACAATAGATAGCTGGAGGACTCGATTAATGCATTGAAAACTGCTTTAGCCGAGTCTTGGCAATTTACCGTTATGGGCCTGTTTACATGCAGCAGCCCACCCACCGCCCCCTGCTGCACACCTAGATAAATTGTGCATCCTTCCTTTGCCAACGTCGCGTTGACAGCTATAATTACTTTAATGATGATTCCAGCTTTGGCTCACGGGCGGGGTGGCGTGTGGCTCTGGGCGTGGGTAGAAGCTGGAGACATTGACGGGCTGGCTTTCGTTTGTGCGCGCTTAAAATGCAATTATATATGCATTTAATAATACTCATTGCATACTTTGGAGAACCGTATCATTTATCAAGCCAATGCAGCTGCAGCTGCAGCAGCAGCGGCAGCAGCAGCGGCAGCAGCAGCGGCAGCAGCAGCAACCGCTCGCCGGAGATTAATTTAATTGAAATGATGGCAAATCGAATTTAAACAACACACGCGGCGTATGCGCAATATTGCATTAAGATTCATCCGCGAATGTCGTGGCTACGCACATACATACATGCTCAATGCAAGTGTGCGTATGTATGTCAGCAAGTAATACTATTGAATATGATGTGATATATTAAAAAATTATAATTTGCTTTATACAAAACATCGGGCAACAGTCTCCAGAAGCGTAAACATCGATATTAATGTCATTTATTGCACATGTCATTGTTTATTAACTTCATAAATTAACATGGCTATTTAAATATAACTGGTGTCAATTCCAATTGTTCCTTTTCTTTGTACTCAAAACCCTTAGCTGTCTCGTTGCCCATTTGAATTTCATTCTCAATATGTCCTTAATTGCACAAAAGGAAAACTTTCTGTCATTATAATGATATTAATGATGAAAATGATAACAATAAAAATAAATAGATTAATAACAATATCAATATAAATAATAAAAAACCATTTAATGATAGGCAAAATCGATCGATAGGGAAATCGTTTAAGTTGTATGCATTATGTATTACGAACGTGTCCGGACGTGGTTCGGTGTCCTTTGGCTCTGTTTCTGGCCCTGTTCTGGGCCAATCAAGTTGCGGTGCCACGCCCACCATTATGCCTACAATCATTCAATTAAAAAGTGCATGCCGCGCAATTAATATAATTTTCAAGCAGCGAAAGCGAAGCTAAAAGTTTTTCGGTCTGCTAGCTCGATACGTGTTGTGCGTGGGTGTGTGTGTGTGTGCGGGTGTGCGGGTGTGCGTGTGAGGCATGGGTAGAGATGCATGGTTGGGTGTAGGCGTGGCACTAGGCAGTCTGACAACCATGTTGGCAGCTGCATGGAAAACTT